CGGGTGCACTGCATCGTGACTGTACAGTATGTCTAACACTGGTGGGTGCACTGCATCGTGACTGTACAGTATGTCTAACTCTGGTGGGTGCACTGCATCGTGACTGTACAGTATGTCTAACACTGGCGGGTGCACTGCATCGTGACTGTACAGTATGTCTAACTCTGGTGGGTGCACTGCATCGTGACTGTACAGTATGTTCAACACTGGCGGGTGCACTGCATCGTGACTGTACAGTATGTCTAACTCTGGTGGGTGCACTGCATCGTGACTGTACAGTATGTCTAACACTGGTGGGTGCACTGCATCGTGACTGTACAGTATGTCTAACTCTGGTGGGTGCACTGCATCGTGACTGTACAGTATGTCTGACTCTGGCGGGTGCACTGCATCGTGACTGTACAGTATGTCTAACTCTGGTGGGTGCACTGCATCGTGACTGTACAGTATGTCTGACTCTGGCGGGTGCACTGCATCGTGACTGTACAGTATGTCTAACTCTGGTGGGTGCACTGCATCGTGACTGTACAGTATGTCTAACTCTGGTGGGTGCACTGCATCGTGACTGTACAGTATGTCTAACTCTGGCGGGTGCACTGTATCGTGACTGTACAGTATGTCTAACTCTGGTGGGTGCACTGCATCGTGACTGTACAGTATGTCTAACTCTGGCGGGTGCACTGTATCGTGACTGTACAGTATGTCTAACTCTGGCGGGTGCACTGCATCGTGACTGTACAGTATGTCTAACTCTGGTGGGTGCACTGTATCGTGACTGTACAGTATGTCTAACTCTGGTGGGTGCACTGCATCGTGACTGTACAGTATGTCTAACTCTGGTGGGTGCACTGCATCGTGACTGTACAGTATGTCTAACTCTGGCGGGTGCACTGCATCGTGACTGTACAGTATGTCTAACTCTGGCGGGTGCACTGCATCGTGACTGTACAGTATGTCTAACTCTGGTGGGTGCACTGCATCGTGACTGTACAGTATGTCTAACTCTGGTGGGTGCACTGCATCGTGACTGTACAGTATGTCTAACTCTGGTGGGTGCACTGCATCGTGACTGTACAGTATGTCTAACTCTGGTGGGTGCACTGCATCGTGACTGTACAGTATGTCTAACTCTGGCGGGTGCACTGTATCGTGACTGTACAGTCTGTCTGACTCTGGTGTGCACTGCATCGTGACTGTACAGTATGTCAAACAATAGGTATGTGATTTGAAACTTGACGTGTGTGCATGTGCGTGTGGGTTGTGATTCACCTTTGTAGTAAAGAGAATACAATGACATGTGAAGGAGGCGAGGTCAATATAGAGTTGAGAGTCGGGGCTGCTACTTCGCAACATTAGGGAGGCATTAGCGACTGACATAACAATAAAACGTCATCCCAGCCAAGCCGGCTTCAGCATTGGCGGCAGTCAGCAGCCTACAGTTTGAGGGACACCTGCATACAGTCACTTCTATTTCACGCATTCTCGCCACTTTATGAGGAGTGTGTTTACAAAAGGTGTAGTTACATAAAAAAGTAAGCGTACCACGGGAACACCTATCATTGTGACAATGAAACAAACATTTGGTGCACGTTAACGATCTCTGTAGCATATCTGTTCAACAGGAAAGGCAATTGCCGTTGTGAATGCAGGTTTCAGGACGCTAATAACAATTACCAAAACCTTCGTACGAAACACCTAATACCCTTGATGGGTGATGGCCAGCTTCTCGCCACTTGTACCTGTACAACCCCTCCCCACCTCTGCTGTCATCAGTCTTGACCCCCTTCACTCTACCGGAACAAAACACACAAGGCCACGCGTTCAAACAAGCTTCAAAGGCATCTCTTTTAATGTACATAGTATCGGGTATCCGGACGAATTACGGGTGGAATGCATATATAGGTCTACCTGGCCTCGACATGAACTGTATGGGCGTGGATTGGAGGATATAGGGAATAGCTGGTCATAGCGAAAAAATCACACGATATCTCAATATCCGAGTAGTATCTGAAATAGATCTGATCATATATAAATGATAAATAGATCTGATCATATAGATGATAAATAGATCTGATCATATAGATGATAAATAGATCTGATCATATATATGATAAATAGATGATAAATAGATCTGATCATATATATGATGAATAGATCTGATCATATATATATGATGAATAGATCTGATCATATATATGATAACTAGATCTGATATATATATGATAACTAGATCTGAGATGATGAATAGATCTGATCATATGATAACTAGATCTGATCTAGATCTGATCATATATATGATGAATAGATCTGATCATATATATGATGAATAGATCTGATCATATATATGATAACTAGATTCTGATCATATATGATATGATGATCATATAATAGATAACTGATCTGATCATATATATGATGAATAGATGATGATGAATAGATCTGATCATATATATGATATCATATATATGATGACTAGATCTGATCATATATATGATGAATAGATCTGATCATATATAGATCTGATCATATATATATATGATGAATAGATCTGATCATATATATGATAACTAGATCTGATCATATATATATGATGAATAGATCTGATCATACATATGATGAATAGATCTGATCATATAGATGATAACTAGATCTGATCATATATAAATGATAAATAGATCTGATCATTTATGAATGATGAATAGATCTGATCATATATATGATGAATAGATCTGATCATATATGAGATAACTAGATCTGATCATATATATGATAACTAGATCTGATCATATATAAATGATGAATAGATCTGATCATATAGATGATAACTAGATCTGATCATATAAATGATAAATATATCTGATCATATGAATGAATAGATCTGATCATATATAAATGATGAATAGATCTGATCATATAGATGATAACTAGATCTGATCATATATAAATGATAAATAGATCTGATCATATATGAGTGATGAATAGATCTGATCATATATGAATGATAACTAGATCTGATCATATATAAATGATAAATAGATCTGATCATATATATGATAAATAAATTGATCATATATATGATAACTAGATCTTATCATATGTATGATAATAGATCTGATCATATATGAGATAAATAGATCTGATCATATACATGTATATGATGAATAGATCTGATCATATATATGATGAATAGATCTGATCATATATGTGATGAATAGATCTGATCATATATAAATGATGAATAGATCTGATCATATAGATGATAACTAGATCTGATCATATATAAATGATAAATAGATCTGATCATATATGAGATAAATAGATCTGATCATATACATGTATATGATGAATAGATCTGATCATATATATGATAAATGACTCGACGTAGGTTTTCTCCACAGGTCACCTTTTAATTTTATTTTCATGCTATCGTTGATACCTTGCTTTGTGGGTCCATATTCACATTTTACTGCTCGGGAGACAGGTTGACCATACCTGAGTACTCGGGATGAAGGAGAAGGGAGACAGGTTGACCATACCTGAGTACTCAGGCTGAAGCAGAAGGGAGACAGATATTGATCAGCAGCAGAAGGAGACAGGTTGACCATACCTGAGTACTCAGGCTGAAGGAGAAGGGAGACAGGTTGACCATACCTGAGTACTCGGGATGAAGGAGAAGGGAGACAGGTTGACCATACCTGAGTACTCAGGCTGAAGGAGAAGGGAGACAGGTTGACCATACCTGAGTACTCGGGATGAAGGAGAAGGGAGACAGGTTGACCATACCTGAGTACTCAGGCTGAAGGAGAAGGGAGACAGGTTGACCATACCTGAGTACTCGGGATGAAGGAGAAGGGAGACAGGTTGACCATACCTGAGTACTCAGGCTGAAGGAGAAGGGAGACAGGTTGACCATACCTGAGTACTCAGGCTGAAGGAGAAGGAGACAGGTTGACCATACCTGAGTACTCAGGCTGAAGGAGAAGGGAGACAGGTTGACCATACCTGAGGTACTCAGGCTGAAGGAGAAGGAGACAGGTTGACCATACCTGAGTACTCGGGATGAAGGAGAAGGGAGACAGGTTGACCATACCTGAGTACTCAGGCTGAAGGAGAAGGGAGACAGGTTGACCATACCTGAGTACTCAGGCTGAAGGAGAAGGATGACAGGTTGACCATACCTGAGTACTCAGGCTGAAGGAGAAGGGAGACAGGTTGACCATACCTGAGTACTCAGGCTGAAGGAGAAGGGAGACAGGTTGACCATACCTGAGTTCTCAGGCTGAAGGAGAAGGAGACAGGTTGACCATACCTGAGTTCTCAGGCTGAAGGAGAAGGGAGACAGGTTGACCATACCTGAGTTCTCAGGCTGAAGGAGAAGGAGACAGGTTGACCATACCTGAGTTCTCAGGCTGAAGGAGAAGGAGACAGGCTGACCATACCTGAGTACTCGGGCTGAAGGAGAACTGCCTTCCCACATGGAACGCAGGGGGCGGTAATACCATCCTGATGTCCATCACCGTCACAATGTAAGGATATTAGGCCTGACAATGGTGTTACTGTATAGCGAACAAATGTGACGTACTTTCCCTGCCCCGTCGGTTGGATAGTCCCGTTGAAAACAGATACTGTAATTAACTAGACCCTTCTGGCACCTGAAACATGAACGAATCCAAAGGTAAATATCACCGGTAGTCAGGTATGATGCTTCTTGCCTCATCACACGCGACCTGTTGACCAACCCAAACGAAGGGGACGAAGCATGTGGTGTTCCTAACTTTAAATTTATACACACACAGAACAATGACAAAGCGACAACACAATACCAGCAGGTTTGTTCAGGCCTACGAAGTCAAACAGGTATTTAAGTTTGGGATGATTAAGCAAGATTCAGATGTGGTATTTGCTGCCCCCGCTTGCCACCATCACCCCCACTCTCAAATTTCACGACCTGAATTCAAGCACTGCGACCATGTGGAGTTATGTTGAACATCACTGTGTGTTTTCGGAAGATTCGGTATAACGGAAGCATGTTGATGCTATTGAACTATGATGTGACGGTTTCTTATACACTGGTGAAGGTTGATGAAACAATGGGCGAGTAACTCGATACCACGATGTACCTGCTTACCGGCGGACCTATCAAGACGTCTGTTGTCCTTATAGAGAGGACCGGGTACATCAGACATGGTAAGGACAATGATCACAATATACACTCCTGTGTACTTGTAGGACTAGATCCTCCGGTTGTCAACAATCGACCGAGATGGACGTTGAGGCTATGTGTCTTGGCTTGTGTCAACGTATCACGATGGTGACTATGCTTCAGACACTGGTTCTTCTGGTCCAGATTCGCTAACACCAACCTTGATACATATATAGAGAATCTCACCCAAGTGTCTACTAATATCAATTATATCCACACGAGTTGATAAAGTTACAAATATCCGAGGCTTGCCGAGGATATTTTTACTTTTATCAATGAGTGTTGATATAATTGATATCAGTAGACACGAGGGTGAGATTCTATTATCATCAAAATCATTCTTCATTAGTTTTCAATGAAAAATGTACATCTCTCAACTCTGTACTACCATTAGATTTGCAATGCAGCGATGTCATAGCATTGTGACGTCATCAAGTTGATGATGTCATAGCATTGTTAGGGCATTGTACAAAATCTACTGTCAAAACGATATCTCCTAGGAGATATCATATGATCTTACACAAGCGATATCTCCTGTGGAACACAGTTTTGGATGATAAAGTTGGTATATTGGTGACTGTGGCGTTAAACCAACTTCACTCAATTCATGCTATCTTCAACACGTAATATATGTGTGAAGTGTTCTCTGAATGGCGATATATCCACATCTTCCCATTCTGCACTGTTCTTCCTTGAACACCAAAGACTGTATCGAAACAAAGTAATTCTCTTGTTCAGATCCATGTATCACTTCGTCCTTCGTGGGATATTTACCACGAGAATGTCATCTGCGTGTGCTAGGAATACACCTCTTTGTAATCCGGTTGCAACCAATGGAGTGGTTGTTGATCTTGGTTTGTATAACACATGAGTAACATTTCACCCTGCTTAGTGTGGTCTTTGAAAGAATGTCGCTTAACTATACACACCGTTGACTACCAGTCTTTCTCACAGTGCCCGAATCACATAATTTCCCAGTCTCCCCAACCCTTTCTTCAATGCAAAAGCTCTCAAGAAGCAAGTCTAGATTTCCTTCGGTTCTGAACCTCTAGCTCGCTGAAGCTCCTTTTCAAAATATAAATATTTAGGGTCTAGTCCGACCTAGTCTATACAAGCTGTTCCATTAAGGGACACGGGTAGATGGAAGCAGGGCTTCTCTTTACAGTACAGATGGAGGTTTATAGTAACATAACTGGAGTGCAGCTGGACAGAAGTAATCCTCCCTGCTGGTTTGTTTAGGTGTTTGGTATGACCACAGCTCAATGTTATTCTTGTTCTTGGTCTGATTCGACAGTCCGTAGATAAAACCCGACTGTTGATGTATACTGATACAGGTAAAGGATGGATATTTATAGGAATAAGCATATGAATCAAGTCAGGAATATGAACTATTGATACCGGGACAGGTATTTAGCAAGATACATAGCACTTGTTGGTACATGGACATGTATTAAGCAAGATACAGGGCAGTTGTTGGTACATGGATAGGTATTTAGCAAGATACAGAGCAGTTGTTGGTACATGGATAGGTATTTAGCAAGATACAGAGCAGTTGTTGGTACATGGATAGGTATTTAGCAAGATACAGAGCAGTTGTTGGTACATGGACAGGTATTTAGCAAGATACAGAGCAGTTGTTGGTACATGGACAGGTATTTAGCAAGATACAGAGCAGTTGTTGGTACATGGACAGGTATTTAGCAAGATACATAGCAGTTGTTGGTACATGGACAGGTATTTAGCAAGATACATGGCAGTTGTTGGTACATGGACAGGTATTTAGCAAGATACATAGCAGTTGTTGGTACATGGACAGGTATTTAGCAAGATACATGGCAGTTGTTGGTACATGGATAGGTATTTAGCAAGATACATAGCAGTTGTTGGTACACGGACAGGTATTTAGCAAGATACAGAGCAGTTATTTGTAAGATGACGAGTATCTATCAGATACGGGGCAGTTGTTTGTAAGATGACGAGTATCTATCAGACACAGCGCAGTTGTTTGTAAGATGACGAGTATCTATCAGATACGGGGCAGTTGTTTGTAAGAGGACGAGTATCTATCAGATACAGAGCAGTTGTTGGTACATGGACATGTATTTAGCAAGATACGGAGCAGTTGTTTGTAAGATGACGAGTATCTATCAGATACGGGGCAGTTGTTTGTAAGATGACGAGTATCTTTCAGATACGGGGCAGTTGTTTGTGAGAGGACGAGTATCTATCAGATACGGGGCAGTTGTTTGTAAGATGACGAGTATCTATCAGACACAGCGCAGTTGTTTGTAAGATGACGAGTATCTATCAGATACGGGGCAGTTGTTTATAAGAGGACGAGTATCTATCAGATACGGGGCAGTTGTTTGTAAGAGGACGAGTATCTATCAGATACGGGGCAGTTGTTTGTAAGAGGACGAGTATCTATCAGATACGGGGCATTTGTTTGTGAGAGGACGAGTGTCTATCAGATACGGGGCAGTTGTTTGTAAGAGGACGAGTGTCTATCAGATACGGGGCAGTTGTTTGTAAGAGGACGAGTATCTATCAGATACGGGGCAGTTGTTTGTAAGATGACGAGTATATATCAGATACAGAGCAGTTGTTTGTATCAGGACGAGTATCTAGCGAGGTATGTGGAAGGTGTTCGTACCAGGACGAGTATCTAGCGAGGTATCTGTTTGTACAAGAACAGGTTTCTTGCCTTGTCCAGATCCAGGAAAGTGTGTTGTCTGCTGTCTACTGGCAAACATGTCTTTGTCCCACAACCAGGACAAGCCATCTGCAACATCTGTAAGTCGTAACAGTTGAATACCCCGATCTTGCCAACGATGTCTAAAACAATTCTGTAAGCGCTGTTTCTAGCAGTAGGGTAAGAAAATTAACACAACGCCTTTCTTGTGCATGTGTGTGTGTGCGCGTGCGTGTGCGCGCGCACGTGGGTGAATGTGTTTTTGGCAGTTTGTAGTTTTGCTGTAGGCAAACACATACTTTGCCCTCATATCCAGTTCAAAATATACACAGTGCACCTACACGTACAAGTCGATTTAAATATACTCAGTGTGCAGCACTTTGTAGCGATATAATATTACGTTCGTCACTCAGTAAAACAGATTTCAATATATATTTTTTAGCGATGTGTAGCCTGACACAATGCGTGTGTTTCTGACGTTAATTTCCAGGTGCTGATTATGTGTCTGCTTGGTGCAGTCTTACGCTAACAGGTGTTGAGAGTGGGAAGCCTAGTGTACACACAGCCGCTGCTGGCTGCAGGCTTAGCACTACCTCAGGGGCTACCCCAAGTGCAGGAATTGTCAGGCGTTGGTGTGTGTGTGTGTGTGCGTGTGTGTGTGTGTGTGTGTGTGAGAGAGAGAGAGAGAGAGAGAGAGAGAGAGAGAGAGAGAGAGAGAGAGAGAGAGAGAGAGAGAGAGAGAGAGAGAGAGAGAGAGAGAGTGAGAGTGAGTGTGTGTGTCTGGCCGGAGTTGTCAGAAGTTGAGGGGTTGTCAGGAGTTGAGGGGGTTGTCAGACGTTGAGGGGTTTTCAGGAGTTGAGGGACTTGTCAGATGTCGAGGGGGTTGTGAAGTGTTGATGAGGTCAGGTGTTGAGGGAGTTGTCAGATGTCGAGGGGGTTGTCAAGTGTTGATGAGGTCAGGTGTTGAGGGAGTTGTCAGATGTTGAGGGAGTTGTCAGATGTTGATGAGGTCAGGTATTGAGGGAGTTGTCAGATGTTGAGGGGTGGGTGGGTGTTGTCAGAAGTTGAGGGAGTTGTCAGATGTTGAGGGGGGTTGTCAGACGTTGAGGGGTTTTCAGGAGTTGAGGGACTTGTCAGATGTCGAGGGGGTTGTCAAGTGTTGATGAGGTCAGGTGTTGAGGGAGTTGTCAGATGTTGAGGGAGTTGTCAGATGTTGATGAGGTCAGGTATTGAGGGAGTTGTCAGATGTTGAGGGGTGGGTGGGTGTTGTCAGAAGTTGAGGGAGTTGTCAGATGTTGAGGGGGGTTGTCAGGTGCTGAGGGAGTTAGCAGGTGTTGAGGGAGTTGTCAGGTGTTGAGGAGGGTTGTCAGAAGTTGAGGGAGTTGTCAGGTCTTGAGGGAGTTGTCAGATATTGAGGGGTGGGTGGGTGTTGTCAGGTGTTGTGGGAGTTGTAAGGTGTTGATGAGGTCAGGTGTTGGTGGGGTCGTCAGGTGTTGAGGGAGTTGAAAGGAGTTGAGGGAGTTGTCAGAACCTGATGGAGTTGCTAGGATTGCTGAAAGTTCAGGAAGGACATATACTGATTAATTTAGCTCTGCATAGTTTTACAGGATTATCAAAGGGTAGGTCAGTCACTTCATCTCTCGACCCTTCGGTATAACCGCCCCTACGAACGGCCTGGTGTAGCCTCACCATTGCGACCAAACACGTAAGGTAATCTCTTTATTTCTAAAAGAACACCTCATCAAATGAAAGTAACAGTCAATTTATTTATCACTGATTCGGCAATAAACGTGAGTGAGAATGTTGCACCTGATGTCTGGGGCTTATCTAGCAGGCTGCTTCTACATTATCTCACACACGCGCTTCTGCTTGGGTCAACTGTGACCCCAGCAGCTATGCATAGCCTCCACAAATCACATAAACTTGGTGAAGGGCTCTTACTTATCCACAGATTTCACGTCCGCCGTGTCACCTGTAACAAGGGGTTACTCCGTACAATAGTCCTGCACTCATTCTGCATGTGCACCGCAGCGTGTACTTTCAAATTTCCAACCCAACAGTTTCTTTCCCTTGAACACGTAAGGTGTTTTTCTCTCCATATTTCCGTCCAACACGTGCATGACATTTTGTTTTTTCTTCGTGTTTCCATCCAACACGTGCATGAAATAATGTTTTTTTCTCCATGTTTCCATCCAACACGTGCATGACGTAAGGTTCCTTTCTCCATGTTTCCGTCCAACGCGTGCATGACGGGTCTTTTTCTCCATGTTTCCATCAAACACGTACATGACA